GCGCGCGCCCGGCGGTGATGAATGTAGTGACTGCCGGCAAAGAAGAGAAGGGTGGAGATGATGAAAAGAGTCCAACAGGTAGAAACTTGAACCTGAGGAAAGATGAAACTACGTAGTTGTCTTTCAACCAAACCCTCAGAAATGGATTAGATCGGGAGAACAACTTGACAGACCCATGACTTGTTCTGTTTTGACAAAACGATCGAAGACTGATTCACAGAGATTGGCAACGGGTCTGGATGTTCGTATAGAAGGGATTTATTCACGTGTAAAGCGAGCCCAGTGGTAAACCGGAGAACTGGCGACGGACGGCGGCGAAAATCGGTGAAAACCGACGTTTAGATCTACGCCGATAGACTGACTTTCTCTAAAAACTAACCTCGAAAATGGAATCAGAGTGAGGAAAGGAACATCCTGAGGCAAAACGGCGGCGAACGGATGACGGAGTGTGGTGGCGGACGGCGGACGGCAGGCGGCGGACGGCGGTCGACGGACGGCGGACGGTGATGATTAACGTTGGCGGACGGCGATGGTAAAGATGAAATAATGGATGAAAATAAAATCACCTTCAACCAAGAGAGAAGCGGGAGCTTCTCTCACTAGGTTTGAAATTCAAAAAAATCACATTCATGGAAAATCAATTAAAATACAATCATGATTCATTCAGAAGGATTTAGATATGACCAATTTCATATTTTCAAAACAGAATACTAAAATTATCCATAGGTCTTCCAAAATGGTCTAAAATATTAAACGATCATAGTTTAGAAAAGCAACAAATATAACTAATCAGATTATAAATTTCGTATGACTTGCACTCCGATGGAAACAACAATTTATGGGGTCTGAATAGAGATAAGATGGTAGCATAAAGGAAGCAGGGTACTTACGATATGTTCCCCAAGAATGTGTTAAAACTTAAGCCATTTAATGAACTATGATACAAGAGTTTCCATTCCTCTATCTCTTCATGAGATAGAGCCCCTCCAATATACCAAGCATATTCATCTCTCAATAATAATATACTTGGATCTATATTCTCCGAATGCAACAATTTAGGAATCTGAGATCCCGGTCTCCCTACACAGAAAAGTAACATTAAAAATGGACTTATGATACTAATTTCAATCAAAATCATAGGAGACAGGATATGATTTGGTGTAACTGCCATCGGGAAATGTATCCAGTTAATCTATAATCCAGCTTAATCAAAGTTAAGCCTTCACAAATTAGTATAACACAAACAAAAATAAGTTTTTCCAAAATGAATCAGGCTTTAATCGGAGTTAAGCTGGAGGGGCCATAAAATCAAATCACATTGAGATAACTACATAATTTTGTTAAGTTAAGCACATGCATGGTTGAACAATGTCACGCTGATACAGATTCTAAATTATATAATATATACATATCTATTCATACTTTTAAGAAATTATTTCTCCAATGATGCTACTAGAATGATATATATTACAAAAGAAAAGGCCACATATCAGAGAAGAAGCATGGAGAACCTGGATCTGGTGGCACTAGTAAATTTGAAAGGAACTTCTTCACAGATGGTACAAGAGTACACCAGCATCTGAAATCCTTAAAAGACATACTTTTATCATTACGTCCCTCATGATCCTTTGAGAATGTCGCAGCATTCAGAAATGTCTCCACCATGTAGCAGCGCAAACTTGGTTCTGGTTGAGAACCTTTCAGGTGGAATATATGGTCAAACATTGTGACTAGACCAGATTCTAAGTCAGACCTGTCGTTAAGAAGGAGCCACATAAGTTAGAAGGTCTCTGCCATGACAGAGATAGCTAGATTTTCAAGTAGCTTCCAATAATTAGATGGTAAGAGTAATTTCTAACTTGAAAATTTGTTCCTTCGTTAGGTTTCATGTACTGGGAAATAAACGTTGACAGAAACAATTTTTATAATCAGAAAAAAGTGAGTTGGTGAAGTAAAGAAAACATTACCGCAGACAATCATCATTTTACCTTGTCAAAATTTCATCATCTGTGACATCCAACAATCGATAAATAAACTCCTCAATCTCATCGTTTGTCCCCTTCACATAAGTCCCCTACAAAAATTAAAACATAAAACCAATAGTCCTGCAAGCTCAATTCAAAGCACCAATTAACATAGGTTCCCTTAGTTGTTGCTCTTGTTAATTGACTTCTGACATTAGTTTTCTACTTCGAAAGTTACTAAAGCTCAAAATTGTAGCATTTGATTGGGTATAAACAAATAGTAAAACGGTAACAAACACTAAAATATGGTGACCATTCCACATTGAAGCAAAACCATGAATTTTGTCATCCACAAAATCTTGAATTTTAACTTCAATTATTTAAGAAAACTTGGATGCTTTTCCTTTTTACTTCATCCCCATAAGTAAAAACATATAACAAAAGTAACAACCAAGTGAAGTTATATATAACCAACCACATTTGTTTCTTAATCATTTGTGCTCAGCACTGATAACCAACATTAAAATTTTCAATCTGTGCTAATTTGAATTTAGGTGAGTGTCGAATGCGGTATACTCGAAGGTAATTACTTTAGTGATCACGAGGTCTTCAAAGGTAAGCTTATCATCTTTTCGCCCCTGGGTGGCTAAATCGAACATTCTATCTCCAAGAGGACCTTTTAACCCGAAGTAAGCCTACATCCAAACTAGTACTTTCGTTAAGGAGGAAAAATTCCCAAATCAAAGCAAACATTCATGACTAAAAATGGGTAAATCCAAAAAAAGAGAACCTGAAAAACAGATGAAGAAACATATTGACCATTGGTCTGAGACTGGGCAGCTAGGGAAGTGAAGAGTGATTTGAGATCCTCTAATTCCTTCGGTGTAAAAGCTCTAAAACATAAGTATTTTCGTTAGTTCAATCATACCAACAAATCAAAAGAAATTCTTTTAATTAAAAGATGATCAAACATTAAAGTAGAGATTGTTTGGAGAAAGAACAACCTTGAAGCTGAATTGAAACGATGATTTGGAGCAGGTGACTGGCTGTTCCCCATTCTTCGTTTTCCGGTTCTGTTCGTTTTCCGTTCTTCGTATATATATATTTTCTTGTTCCTCAATGGGCCGAGCTTATTCTCCGCAGTCTATTCTATTAAATCAGTCCGTTTTCCATGTCCAAAGCCCAAACCTTTCTGGGTTGGATACCATTTCGAATTGCTGTGACAGGGATTAATAAGTTTTCAAACGAATTTCAATTTCTTCAGTCTCCTCTACTTGAATTTGCGGCTGTTCTTTCTTTCACTGCTTTCTTGTGAATTTCTTGACATAACAAGTTCGTTGGCACCGGATTTTTTTAATTACTCGAAACACCCAAACCAGAAAAGAGTAAAACAAAGACAAAGATTTGGTTAAACAGATGTGAGCAATGTCGAGACAAAGATTTGGTGAAGAAATTAAGTCAACCCCACTGTTTCTCTCAAAGATCAGTACGTATCGAAACGCCAAGATTCCGTTAGGAAAAGGTTTCACCCTCCCGAACCTTCTTCCTTTCTTAATGCAATTTTTTTTTCTTTTTTCGATGGATTAGATTCTCAATTCACTTTATTATTCAGTTTCCCGTGTTACAAACAGTATAATGATTAAAAGTGAAGTGAATTTTGTTTTCCTTTCTTTTAGTCTTTAAAAGACTGAAACAATGTTTATTCACTTTGTCAAAATAGCATTTTAACATGTTTGGTTTAAATTTTTCAAGTGAATTTGAATTCCTTATGACTTTAATTTTCCATCAAATGAGGAAAAGTAAATTCCATCGAAGAATGGATGGAATTCAATTCCTTTTTTTTTTTTTAAGAGAATTGAAATTTGATCATACTACCCTCATCAATCTTTTGGTAACTTATTCATATATTGAATAAAAATATTTTTTATTATTTCGGGTCGGTTCGAGTGAAATTTTATTTTGGTTAGGTCGGGTCGATTTTTTAAGTATGATATTCGGGTTGGGTCGAGTTCAGGTTTAGGGTGAAAAATACCCGACCCGAAAATATATATAATTTTATCTTATATATTTAGGAATTATTATAATAATACACCTCTATATATAATTTTTTCCAATTAAATCACTGTTTTTATTGAATAAAAATAATTTTTTTATTATTTCGGGTCGGGTCGGGTCGGATTTCTAATTCATATATTCGGAATTGGATTCCAATTCCTAACAGATTTCAATTCCTTCACAAATATCAATTCCCTTATAAACATTCCAGCGAATCAAACGCCACATAATGGTATTTTGTTTCTACTTGTTGAGATCAAATTAATTTTTTAACAAGGATAGTCAAAATAGAAATAAAATATAATGATATATAAGATTTAAAAAAAATAAATAAATAATTAAAATAGAAATAAAACAATAGATGAATGATTAAATAAATAATTTATACTATAATTAAATAGATTTGGCGATTAATTTGACATAAAATTTTTAGGTTAAATTCTTCGATTATAGTGTATGTGTTTTTTGTTGAGTCATTTGATTATTAAAATTATAAAATAGTCATTTGACTATTTTTGTGTTTCAACTCGTCATTTTTCGTTGAAAAATTTACAATCATCTGAACTAGACATTAGCGTATTGATTGAAACATAATAAAATGTGATCTCAAAAACATTTGATTTATACTTTGTGGATCGACTATCCGTTTACACAATGTCATCAAGCTAGTGCTTAAAATATTATGTTATCGAACTAGTCCTTGAAAGTAACAACAATATCAATATACATCATTAAAATATAATTTTATCATATTCTAGTTCAAGCAGTCGTCAATATTTTAACGAAAAAATAAAAGTTTGAAACATATAAATAATTGAGTGATTATTCTATAATATTTAATAATTACAGACTCAATATAGTAATATTTTATAATTAGGGGACAATTTGTATAATTTATCCTAATTTTTATGGTAATTAAAAAATCTAGAGAAAATCGAAAATTAATTATGGCCACAAAACCGGAATCAACAACGAAACAAAAAGCCTGAAACTATACAGCGAAGAAACAGAGATCCCGTTTTCTGCCTACACAAAGATTTCAACGGCGATGGCCACTCACTTTTACAGTTTTTCTCCGATTCCCGCAAAACCCATCACCCAAACAATCCATAACAAGTCCATTTTGTTGCCTAATCCTCGTATCTCAACCCCCAGACATCGTAATAACTTCGTAGCATCATCATCATCATCTTCTACTTTTCGAGCTTCAATTTCTCCAGCCGCTACTTCAGTTGCAGTGGATGGACCCGCTACCTCCACCAAACCTTCCAAGTCTTTACCTTTTAGAGTGGGTCATGGGTTCGACCTTCATCGGTTGGAGCCTGGCTACCCTTTGATCATTGGTGGGATTAATATTCCTCATGATAGAGGCTGTGAGGCTCATTCCGATGGTATTTTCTCATCTACTCTTTCCTGTTTTAATTTCTACAATTTTATTTTGATGCTAACTATATGGGGGGATCAATATGTTGCAGGCGATGTGCTGCTTCATTGTGTTGTTGATGCAATCTTGGGAGCTTTAGGCCTTCCTGATATAGGGCAGATATTTCCAGATTCTGACCCTAAGTGGAAAGGGGCTGCATCTTCTGTATTCATCAAAGAAGCTGTGAGTATTTATCTGATTTAGATTGTGGGTAATTTTGAGATATTCCTCTTATTTATCTATTTTTATGGGTCTTAATTTTCAGTGGATTCTCCCTTAGCTTGTTGTCTGGTTCACTGGTGGTTACCTTTACATCACAGGGAATAAATGACTGATTCTTTGGTCATTGCCATATTATAAAATCTGTGTATGTCATCCGGACTTTAGTAGCTTAGATGGAAAGTGTAAGACTGGGATACTGATCCTAGATTAGAACTTCAGTATCGATAAAATAACGAATTGTTGAATAGAAAGTAATAGAATCTTAAAGTTGTAGGCTCTGCTAATGAACTTTGATGTAACATTCAAGTATTAAGATTTTGTGAAACATATCCTTTGTACCCTTGTTAACGTGATAGAAGGAATAGAAGAAACTCCTTGTATGTGTTGGACTGCATAGTCGGTCTTTGTAGTCGACCCATATATGGTATTGATATGACACTGCTTGTTGATCTCTTAAGGGTCATCACTTGTTAATTCAATCTGCTTAGAAAACAAAAATTGAGTTTCTAGTTTCAAGCATTCAGTACTTTGTTTTAGATGCATCAGCAAAGTAAATCAATAGAGTCCTGCTGTGTTGAGTGGTCGAGAAGTGCAAATGAATCTTCTGCATTAGAGCTAAACTCTGATGTTTTAATTATGGTCTGGATGGTGTGACATTCCAACCACAATGCAATGAACTTTGGTACTTTATCTGATACAATGAACCTAACAGGCATTAATCTTTCGTCAGAACAGCTTCGTTTTTTGTTGTTGAAAAATGAGATTGAGGTTTTCATATTGGAACTTTAACCGCTAATATCGTAAGTCCATGTACACGATGAAGGAAGCTTCATCTATCCTTATATTCAACTAGCCTGTGAAAGTGATTCTACACGGGGATACATCATGTGACTTGTAAACATGATTTTTGATTTAGAAAAAGGATGTTTTTAAGAGAAGACTACCAGGTATGATAGTCTTTCACTGCAGAGTTATGTAAAAACTCTGCTGCTTTATTTGACGGTGACTCACCAACCACAATTCAATGACTGTTGCTTCAGACAGCCTAATTTGTTTGTGGTTGGAAATCGCGTCAACCTTTATTCTCAACTGAACTAGATATTCATGTTTTTTATACTGGAAAATCCTTTCTGAACCTGAATTTTCATGTATACTGCATCATTCAAAGAAAAGACTGAGTGAATGAAATGCTCCCCTATTGCAATCCAACTATTTTAGAACAAATTTCAAGGACTTGGCTGTTAGGTGTTCTAAAAGTTTTACTTTGATAGGAAAGGCATATGGAAGAACATTAACAAGTTCGCAATTCAAAACAAAGTATAAAGTAGGGGAATATATGACATCTATGATAATTTTATAATATAGACGCTACTGACCCATTTACTGGCTTGATCTGGGTAAGAGATATCCGTTCCCTTCTACTGAATTCAGCTTGTAGAAATTAGTAGTAAATAACTGAATCTCTTTATCATTTAAAGAACTCTAATGTACATATCAAGTTCTTTTTCCCCTCGTATGGATTATGTAATATGGCCAGGTGTGTCATACGATCCCATCATTGTTTATATCTTTCTATTCTAGGAATATATACTTGATTTATCTGTTACAGACTATTTAGATTAATCATGCTCATCCTCGGAAACATGCTTTCATTTCAGGTGAGACTCATGCATGAGGCTGGTTATGAGATTGGAAACTTAGATGCCACCTTAATTCTTCAAAGACCAAAACTGAGCCCCCACAAGGAGGCTATCAAAGCCAACTTGTCTGAGCTGCTAGGGGCTGACCCTTCTGTTGTCAATCTCAAGGCTAAGACTCATGAAAGAGTTGACAGCCTTGGAGAAAATCGGAGTATTGCAGCACATACTGTAGTTCTACTGATGAGGAAGTAAATATAAGTCTCGGACATCAGTCTCAAGTCTGACAACTGTATACACAGCGAGTATTGTTCTATACTGCCATAGATATGGTATTGCTTCTTGTGTCAGCTTAATGTATTTGATCGAATCAGATTGTTGAATTCTCAAACATTTCGCCTGAAAAAAACTTGGAACAAAGATGCTAAGCTATGGCAGGCTAATGTTTCCATACTGGTCATTAGTCTATGAAGCTATTGATGCTGGCCATTACCAAATATAAATCAATCGTTTAAGATTATGTTCTTAAGCGTTTCCAGAAATCTATGTTAAATTCTCCAATCTTAAAAGTGCCCATGGGCCATGGCTACCTAAACGTGTTCAACATTGGTGAATTCACCTAATCTTTATTCGAACTCGAATAATAGACATCACAGTTCAATGGTACGATAATATAATTATAAAGAATTTTAATTATTTGTACATCTTTGGTTATACAAATTATAATTATATAAGTTTAAATTTTAAATTTTATTATTTTATTATAAAAGTTAGCCTCAAACCTTAGAAATATTTTGTAAATGTTTAAATAATTATTCAATAATAAATTTATTAGTTAAAAAATAACTAGGTTGAGAAAAGGTGTCATACATTTATATAATACATACTACAAAAACCTAACGTGTAACAACAACAATAATATTAAGAATAGTAAAGTACCCTTTAGGTCACTTCTTTTTCAATTCTATTCAATTTTCATCACCAAAATTGAAAAAGTTGTGTTTTGATCACTTAATTGATTTGTTACAATTTGATCATTGAGCCCTTAACTATTGTTACTTTGATGATGTAGCAAGTTAAAAATGATTAATTTATAATTTGACTATTAAACTTTAGAGAAAATATCAATTTAGTCTAAAACTTTTGTTTCATTCATTTTTCACATCAAAAAAAAAAAAATCTCCCAACTATAGAATCTGGTCAAAGTCTCATGATACCCTCGTTTTTTGTCGTTGAAGCTCAAAATTTTTGGTTTATCTTTTTCTGGCCTTCCGAACGAAAATTATGTGTTCACTTAACAGGAAAAGGTCACGAATTCTACAAATCTAACTTACAATTCTTTAGCTTTCCTTTTTCCAATTTTTCTAAATCTGTCATTGGATCATATCGGTTTTGATTTCAAACTCTGTTACTTTACTTCCCAAGACAGTTCAATTCACTATTGGGATTGACCTAAATATCATCGAAGTTTGTTGGAGATTATTTTAAGCTAATCATTAAGTTACTACACACTTTCTTCACAAGTTCCTTAAAAATATAAAGAATAAACAAATTTTTTTAAATAAAAAAAAAACTACCCAACAAAGTTTAAGTATCGTAGTTTAGAAAAAAAAATGCTATTCTATTTTTAATTTACCATGGGTAAACACAAGAACTCCAAGAACTGATCCAAAATTGTAGAATTATCAAAGTTTTTTACAATTGTTATTCGATACTCGATTGGTCGTGGAATGTAACACTACTCGATTAGGATGATCTAACTCAGATGTCAAATATCACATTAATTATTGAAATGATATGGAACAAAACATACACTTATTTTTTATTTAATCAAGTTAAAATAATTATTTATTATTCAAGCATCAACAAAAGGATTACAAATTAAAGCATACACCATAATGGGCAAACAACCTAGTCGTGTTTTTAAACTATGCCAAGCACGTAAATATAATTGGAGGGGTGAAACAATAATTTTATACAATTCATACGAAATGTGCTAGAAAACATTATCTAACACATGCCAATCAACTTTTAAGGCTTTAAAAGGTAATTTCAATCATTTCCATGTAAATCAAAACCTAATGGATCGATATATTTTTTGAGGGGTCAATCTTTTTGACAAAATAATCGATTATTTTCATTCTAGTTATTAAAGGATTGATATTTTTTTTTATCAATTTAACTCGAAATAGAAAAATTGAAATTCAACTTAAACTTAGAAAATTTAAACTTAAAATATTCTCCAACTTAACTCAATTGAAAATTGATTTACCACTGTCCCCAAAAGTTAAAGTTTTCTCCTCATGCATGACCCATCATCTAAAGGCCGTTTTATTTTATCCTTTGAACTTTGAAGTAAAAGTTTTAATTTGCCAAGATCCTAATCACTTGAGGGTCATGTCTCCTCAGCACCTGACCATTGCTAGTCTTCTTTTAAGTGCTAAAGGGTTCAACGCATGCCCATTCACACTTCTTTTTATATATATAACTTTTAGATGTGCTGCTTTCCCAAGTTTTGCCGTAACTATCGCTATTTTTTTTTTAAATAATGTGAAATAATTACAAGATAATATTTATTTTAAATTTTTTAATCTATTGACAATATAAATATATTTTACAAACACGATTGTTCAAATTCAATATCTCTATAAAAATGATATTTTTCTTTTTACGATTGAAACTACTCGATAAATTCTTTTTTATTTTTTTACCTCATAATTTGTAATGTCTTCTTTCAGTCATGCATACGGTTGTCACGTGCACATATTTTTAAAAAATCAATTATCTTTTTTCTAATTATTTATTTTAGATTTTTTAATCATTTAATCTAATTATATATTATATTTAAATTTAAGGTAGATTTTCTATGAATTGCTATAATTTTCGTTTATTTAATTTAACAGTTTAAACATAGATTGATTATGTCCAATTGTATAGGATTATAAGAATAGTAAAATTATATCATCAAATATTCGATGCCACTATATCTGAAATTATTTTGCATCGGTTTATTTAAATACTTTATAATTAGATTATCTTATTATAATTAAAACCCATTATATATTTAAACAAAATAACTAATAAACTTTTCCCTTTAAAATTCTAATAGCAATTTAAATTTTCTTCGTCTATGGTTGATTGACGGTGACACTAATTTTTGTGTTGATTGTTATTGTCGGTATTTCTTATTTTCTCTTTATTTTCTTATATCAGATATTTAATTTTTCTTTGTCTTTTTTAATTTTTAATAATTTCGCTTTTATGACACGTTTTTCTTTATTTTTATGACATATTTTTCTCTGCATTTTAACATGTTTTCGATCCTTTGACTGTAATTTTTGTTCATCCTTTTTTCTCTGGGTTGGATTTGACATTATCACAAATGATCAAGATTGTGCTTATTTGTTATATGTTGATCTTCCATGTTTTGGACTCTCAAATTATATTTGAATATGTAATTTGCGTTCGTGGATAGTTTTCTCACATCGCTCGACTCTAATTAGCGATTTTTGGGCGATCTTTTGATAGTTTGATTCCCTTTTTTGATTCGTTTGTCGATGCAGTCAGACATGTTCATATATACCTTTTGTTCAAGTTTATTTGGTTAGGTTTTTAACATTTTCCTCATATGGTTATTGTATGATCTTTAGTGGTCAGTTTCTCAAGTTAATAATTTTAGGAAAATATATTTATTGTATGTTTAGTTTACGATTATAATTGTAAACACTTATAATATATATATATAAATATTTTTTACTTTTAATAAAGGTAACTATTTTTTCTTAAAAAAAACTTACAGTAGAGACATTACATCCATGAGTTAATAACTTAACCAACCATGCCTTAAAAGGCATATTTTTCTCATTGTTAATCGGTTCTTAAATCCCCCATTGGTAGGTCCATTTTTGGCCACACCCATTGCTCCTCCTTAAAGCTAAGTTAAATCATTTCCCACTTCTCCCTCCTCTAAAGGTCTTTTTTATATATAAATGATTCGCATATTATTTTTCAAAGCTTGGCTTGCAAATGCAATTTCCTTTCATTCATTTTTTTCACATCAGATGTGGGTGAGATGATTTGCATCGAGCAACAGCCCCTTGCCCTCTTCATTATTATATTACTAATGTTTATCCATCTACGTATACATAAAATCAGATTAAATAAAACCAAAACGTTTTCCACACCTTAACCAACCGTATATATTCATTGTGTACATTGCACTCTGCCCCGTGATTGAGTATAATACACATTTACATTATTAACTAACACTATGGTTTCCTAGCTATATTTGTTATTGGATGATCAAAGAAACTATGAACAAAGATATTTGAACCCATCAAAGGATCTCGGTGGTTAAAGGGAAAATTGTTCTTCTTAGAGATCTCGGGTTTGAACAGTTACGTCTACAGAATATGTGTATTACCAATGACTAAAAATTATTATAAACAAATATTACTTTATAATCACACTAATTTATTAAAAAAAACAATGAAATTTTAACGTATTAGAACCTATCAAAGTATCACCAAGCCAAAATGATGTAAGGAAATAGGGAATGGTTTTCTCCAAATTAATGCTTTAAAGATGTTGATTTTAGTAGATTGGAGGGGGACAATAGCTTGAATACAAGAGTCCATGGTGTGATTAGGTTCATAAAATTTTATTTATCCGTTCATATTCGAATTAAGTCGACACTTAAAAATAATCTTGTAATAAACATTTGTATTTAGAAATCAAATTAAAACATGTGATAATAAATACTACTATATAATCATTCTAAACTATTAAAAATCAAATAATAGCATACAATAGTAAAATAATAACAAATGGTATGTGTTTCCAATAGGACAAAACTTACACATCTTGATCTTGGTGATGAAAGTTAGTGAATTATTAATTGTACATGAAATCTATGATTTGGTAGTGGGAAGAAAATAAAAATTCATGCAGTGTTTGGACATGTAAGGATTTTGAAATGGAACAAGCCCTACTAATCCTATTAAATATTGAAGTCTTGATAATAAAATATATTCTAATTATAATAAACATCCACAAAAATAAATATTTATAATAAAAGTATAATTTATTTATTAATTTTACAACGAAGAGAATCTTAGAAACAATTGAGACCCTCTCACGTTGGTCTGGAATCATATTATATATATCATGAGTTGGAATTCATGAATTACGTGATGCAACCGTCATCAAGATTAGTAAAATTGACAATAAAGAAATGGAATATTAATAGAAATAATAAAGAATTAGAAAAGAGGTAATGTGTTGAACAGTTGATATGTATTATTCCATAATAAGTAAGTATGAAGAAAAATAAAAATTTTTGGATTTCATTTTCATAGCCTCTCCAAATTGTCTGAGTCTTTTATTACAATCATTCCCTTCTGTTATAAACTTTGTATTTCCACGTCTCTTTGCTTTGTTCTTCACGAACGCTCTTTATTTGGACGTTTCTCTTTAATCTTTTGTATTTCTTCTTCATTACTTTGTTTAGTTGTAATTATGTTTAAACATATATATATATATATATATATATATATACACACACACATAATTGTTAATCTCATCAATACTTAGAAAGGTAGGATTAGAGTGCGAAGTTTTAGAAAATATACTAAAAATTTAGGGGATGAAATTATCAAAATTTTAAGAGATGTGAAATTAGATTATTTAAAAGAAAATATCATAGAGATCTATTAATTAGTCGAGTGATTAATGATATTCATATTGTCACATCTTGTTTGAGTTCGAATCTTAATGTTTGCCTTGAAAATGTAATACATATTCTCTTAATAGAAAAACCATAAAAGAAATACTTAAATTATATAAGAATTTGAAATTTCAAAAAGTGTAACCGTCGTCCAATGCCCTATGTCTATTCCTACATTAAGTTGGAAAAGAGAAACAATTTAAAACCTTTCTCAACTAAAAAATGTAATTTAACTTAAAATCGATGGATTCTGATCTGACATAATTTGAAATGGTCATTTAAAAAAAATTAAGTTCTTGTCGGATTCGAGTTTAAGGTGATAAATCTTCGACCCAACTCAAGATGAGATAATAGTATAATTTTCTTATATAAATTTAAGGATAATTGCTATAATATCCCATATCTCTATAGTTTTTTAAGATATATTTATGAAAGTTCAAGTTGAACCAAGTTTAGGAGAGTAAATATACTTCTCAAGTCAGATCAGATCAAGTAGAAAGTATATACTTCTCGGGATAGATCAGGCCTGTTAGAGTGCTGTTAGAGATGTAATACACGTGTAAGCAGACAGTTATTTTGTTAGTATGGTTAGCTAGGTGATTAATCTGTTAATAGAAGAGGTTAGTCTGTTAATAGAAGTTGGTGAGCTTAGGCTCGCATTATAAATAAGGTGTACTGGCTAATATGAATGAATATCCTTTCCTGTGTAAATACACCATTGTTAGTAGTTTCTCAATATGATATCAGTCGCCAAACGGTCCTAACTTTGTTTTTCTTCCACTGCATGGAGTTCGTTGGCTATATCGTGACTGCTTATGCCGGTTTTGATGCCGTGTCAGTACTAATCTCTTGCTGATCTGAATATGTATCTTCGTCGCTCTTCCACAACAACGATGAGATCAGAATATGCTGCTCCAATGCTCTGCACTTGCTTCGTGAGCACTACAAGTGGGAGACTGTAGAGGTTACTATACCGGAGATAGAGGCGATGCAGCTGGCACATTATCTGACCATTGGCTCCGAATGCACTGCTTCACTGAGTTATTGTCTGGAAAAGCTAGATTTTTCCAAGTTAGGATGGGATGCAAGAGTAGCACTCAGGGTATACGGTGCTTTCGATAGCAACGAGTACATAAAGGCTAAAAAAATCAGGACCCACCTGATGGAGATTCATATGAATATATTTTCCAAGGCAGATGTCATTGTTGCTCCAACTACAGGTGTGACTGCATACACGATATTCGATGATGCTCTAAAGATCGGTGAGCTCGACTACATTAATGGAGCTTCCCTAGTTCGATATCAGATAGCAGGGAATTTCTTGGGACTACCAGCGGTGACCGTTTCCGTTGGTTATGACAAAGAAGGCCTTGTGCATCTCACAGTATAGAAAGCCTGAAGTTTTCTACAATCTACTGAATAAAAACTGAGTGGAGAACCACCGTGATCGTTCGGAGGCTGGAGGGTAACTGGTCATCGAGATTACTCCGTTTAGTATAGCTTCTTTTTCTTCCATTGATGAACAACTGACTTGATCACTTACCATTGAATATTACAGTACTATGTATTTGCTTAATCATTTGAGAGCGCCATTGTTGAGTTGGATGTGTCAAAAATAATTAGCAGCTAAAAAAATGTCAAGGAACCTTGTATAAGAGGATGAAGAAGAAAGAAATGAAGGTGAATAAGAAGAACGAAAGAAAGCATCACTTTCGATTCAAGTGAACGGAAGGAAGCATCGGCACTTTCGATTCAAGAAGAACGGAAGGAAGCATCGGCACTTTCGATTCAAGTGAACGGAAGGAAGCATCAGCAGTTTCGATTCAATTGTTCATCTTTTCATCAAGAAGGTCGAGAAAGTAGGGGGAGTGTTATGTTGTCTTCGAAAAGGAAGCAAGAAGAGTAGGGGGAATGTTAGAGTGCTGTTAGAGATGTAATACACGTGTAAGTAGACAATTATTTTGTTAGTGTGGTTAGCCAGGTGATTAATCTATTAATAGAAGAGGTTAGTTTGTTAATAGAAGTTGGTGAGCTTAGGCTCGCATTATAAATAAGGTGTACTGGCTAATATGAATGAATATCCTTTCCTGTGTAAATACACCATTGTTAGTAGTTTCTCAATAAGGTCGAGTTCGAATGGAGTGTATATGTTTCTCGGGTTGAATCAGATCGAGTTCAAATGGAAGGTATATATTTCTTGAGTCGAATTGAGTTGACCAAAAATCCGATCCGGTCTCTTGCCTTCTCTATTCTCAAGATTTAAAAAATGTGTTGGTTTATTTATTTTCTGTTGAACCCTAAATATTTCTCATGCACTGTCTTCACCATGACGCATGATCATCATCGAATCCTGTTTTAGATGTACGTTATAATCATTTTTCTCGCATGACATGTCATGCATCCATTGGTCGTCAAATCACATTGATTCTTCAATGGTAAGAGGAGTTTTGGTCTTGAAAGGTTGTAAAAACAGCCGGCCAAAGAATTGAATGGATGAAGGGTACGTGAAACATGGGTTACGTAATACTACAACTCTACGTAGAAAATGGCTACTCTCTCTCTCTCTCTCTCTCTCTCTCTTTCTGTGTGAAAATAAGCCGATGAAATGTCGTTTTAGGGTTAGATGAAAAATAAAGGGGTCCCCTCTCCTATGAAAATGGCTACATCATCGTCTTCTACTCCTCTCTTACTTTTATATTGGGGGTGAGAAACAGCCTCAGCCTCCACTTCTTGCAGTCCCCAAGAAAATTATATAAAAAATGGATCATTAGTTTGTAAATAACATCATTTTGCTTTCTCTATAGAGTGTATAGAACAATCAAACATGGGTCACCATTCTTGCTGCAACCAACAGAAGGTTAAGAGAGGGCTTTGGTCTCCCGAGGAAGATGAAAAGCTCATTCGATACATCACCACTCATGGATATGGGTGTTGGAGTGATGTCCCTGAGAAAGCTGGTCTCCATCTCTTTCTCTCTCAGCTCTTCGATCATCACTTTTTTTTTTCTTTTTCCCTTTTGATGATGAAGGCGTCGATCTCTTTTGCTTTTATTGTTTCAGGTCTTCAAAGATGTGGCAAAAGTTGCCGGTTGAGATGGATTAATTATTTGAGGCCTGACATTAGAAGAGGGAGATTTGCTCCTGAGGAAGAGAAGTTGATTATTAGCCTTCATGGGGTTGTAGGGAACAGGTATACTTTTTAAAGCTTCATTAATGGTGTAACAATTCTGGGTTCAGTTTTCTGATATGTCTGAGAGAATTATTGCAGATGGGCTCACATTGCAAGCCACTTGCCTGGAAGGACAGACAATGAGATAAAGAACTACTGGAACTCATGGATCAAGAAGAAGATACGAAAGCCTTCCTCAGCATCCCCAACCAGCACTGCTCCTACTACTGAGCATTCCCACATTAATTATGTTTCAAACCAACTAGAGTTGGTGAATCAGGACTTGATGACAAGGGCAATTCCTAATCATCAAGAAACCCTCTTTTCTTCTTCTCCTGCCCCATTATTTATGTTCGACACGTCAAATACACTTGATGGGGTTCAAGTTCATCAACATGGTAATACTGTAAGAGGGGAACTTTTTAACGAAGCGGCTAATTTAAACACTGAGGGTACTTGGAACCTGAATCAGCATCAAGTGCAAGCATTCCCTCCTTCAACTTCTTTCACAGTGGGTATGGATTCCAACTCTTATCTGCCGCCATTGGTGGAGAATATGGAAAACTTGGGGGTACCTATTGAAGTCCAATCATGTAGCATTGAAGAGGAAGGAGAAATAACACTTGAGTGCTTGCAGAAGCAGCAGCTGGTGTTGAATGAATGGGTTGAATCCCAGCAATGTTCAAACTTTATGTTCTGGGAACAACTCGGAGGGGAAGCACTGCCACCAACTTCATCAAACATTGGAACTACACTATCTTCATTCCCCACATCTTTATAAATTATTTAAGAAGTATGTCGCCTCCCCCACCCCCCCAACACACACCTTTGCTTTCTTTTTCTGTTCTTTTCTGCTTTCTTTTTTGTAACTTTATTTGGTGAAGAGGTTTTGAAATGTGAGGGACTGCAACATACATAAGTATGCATCATATTCTTCCTCCTCCTTCTTCTTGGTGTTTGAAAATAGAAAGGAAAAGAATAAAAAAAGCAATGTATCAGCAAAAGGAAAACGGTTTGATGCTAATGAGATCATTCTAATTACTTATTAATTTGCCTGAATTACACCAAGTTGGCAAGCTTGCCATTCTTTTGAATGTTAAATATTTTATGATTCTGAAAAAATACTAATCGGTGTACCCGTTAAAGTACTATGCATATCACTTGCCCTTTGGATAACCTACAAGTACATTTAAGGAACTCCGGAAAACATAGAGAGTATCTTTAAACAACAACAACATCTTTAAAAAAAAGATGTTGAATGCTTAACATCCCTGGTGAAGCTATGACCTATTGACATGACCTCTTACAGGTCTATGTGACCTACCAAAGTCAAATCTTTCGTCAGCTGATCATATTTACTTAGTCGATTGGTTTACAAATAGCCATAAAAGTTCTATGTCTAACACTTCTAAGACTCATTATAAAACCTCATTATTAGGACTGAGAGAAGGGATGGAATTGGGATGGAACCATCTCATCCTCATTTATCTCTTTTTTACTTTATTATATATGGAGACAAAATACTTCAACACCGGTTAAAGACTGATCCATCACTTGTTATAATTCTCCATCAAAATCAAAAGAAATGAATCGCCTACTACTGCTACCATTCATTTAATCTCATCAACGCTACTCAATATGTGTGGATGGGGAACTGTTAAAAGTCGGAAACATGGGGTGCACCGAATATAATTGTCAAATTTTGTAACTAAATTAGTTGAATTTGGACAATGGTTAAATCTCAATTCTAGTCATTGTAATTTAGGGTATTTACAAATTAGTCCTTAAAGCTTCAACTATAAATACCCTAGGTCATTTAGCTTCAAAACCATCCCAAAGCATTCTAGCTTTCTTCCAATACTATAGAGAATTTAGAGAGTTTCTTGAAGAGTTGTTTTCTCTTTTTTATCAAGAGAGAATTATAATTGTTTTCTCCTTGGTAGATCAAGAGATGTTGTAATTCCTATTTTTTTCATAGTGAAATTCTTCTACCGTTGCCCGTGGTTTTTACCCTATATTATTTAGGGGTTTTCCACGTAAATTTTGTGTCTCTTTTATCTTCAATTTTTATTTTCTCAAATTATCAGTTGCATTTTTTCTCTATCCGATAGCCGTCTTCCGCAACAATTGGTATCAGAGCTAGATTAGAGTGTGTAATATCTGCTTATTGTCTTTGTGGTTACCACCAAAAGGTGGATCCTCCAACATAAGAAAGTAAGAAGGTATTACCCATTCTTTGCAGGTTCCAGAGAACTATTCACGATAGTGAAATAGTGGGAGCTATCCGTAAAAGAAGCTATGGCAACGAAATTTGATATTGAAAAATTCAATGGGAGAAATTTCTCATTGTGGAAATTGAAGATGAAGGCCATCCTGAGGAAAGATGGGTGTCTAGCAGCTATCAGTGAAAGGCTGGTAGATTTCACAGATGACAACAAATGGATCGAAATGGACGGGAATACTATGGTAAACTTTCATCTAGCATTAGCAGATGAAGTATTGTCAAGCATCGAGGAGAAGAAGACAACTAAGGAGATATGGGATCATCTCACCAAACTGTACGAGGCCACATCGTTGCACAATAAAATTTTCCTTAAGAGAAAATTGTACACACTCCGTATGCCAGAATCTACTTCAGTGACAGAACACTTAAATACACTGAACACTTTATTTTCTCAGCTTACATCCTTAAGTTGTAAAATAGGAGAACAAGAACGTGCTGAACTTCTACTTCAAAGTCTACCGGATTTGTATGATCAACTCATCATCAACTTAACAAACAGTAATGTCACTAGTCTAGTCTTCGATGACGTTGCAGCTGCTGTTCTACAAGAAGAAAATCGGCGCAAGAACAAGGAAGACAGACAAGTAAATATGCAACAAGCAGAAGCATTGACAACGATGATAACGATGAGAGGGAGATCAACAGAACGTGGCCAAAGCAGCAGTCACAAACATGGTAGATCGAAGTCGAGGAGCAAGAAGAATTTAAAGTGCTACAACTGTGGAAAGAAGGGTCACTTGAAGAAGGATTGTTGGAGTCTAAATAAAAACTCCAATCCACAAGGCAATACCGCAAACACTTCAGATGATGGAGATGCTCTATGCTGTGAAGCGTCAACCACCGTGGAAGGCAGAAAAAGATTTGCAGATATATGGCTCATTGATTATGGAGAAACATATCACATGACCTCAAGAAGAGAATGATTCCATCATTATGAACCTGTCTCAGGAGGATCTGTGTATAGTTGCAATGATAATGCCTTGGAGATCGTTGGCGTGGGAACCATCAAATTGAAGATGTATGATGGAACAATTAAAGTTGTTCGAGATGTGCAGCACGTGAAAGGCCTGAAGAAAAATTTATTATCCTACGGATTGTTGGATAATAATGCAAGCAAGATTGAAACACTGAAAGGAATCATGAAGGTGTTCCGTAGAGCGCTTGTGGTGCTGAAAGGCAAAAAGATAGCAGCAAACTTGTACATGCTGAAGGGAGAGACTTTGCTAGATGTAGAAGCCTCTGTTGCCTCATGTAGTTCAGATTTTGCAATGTTATGGAAACAGAAACTTGGACACATGTCAGAACAAGGAATGCAAGTCCTTGTGGAGCAAAAACTACTTCTAGGCTTAACAAAGGTAACACTTCCTTTGTGTGAGCATTGCATAACAAGTAAGCAGCACCAGTTGAAATTCAACAAATCAAATTCTAGAGGCAAAAATGTTCTAGAATTGGTTCACTCTGACGTATGGCAAGCACCAGTTACATCCCTAGGCGGAGCAAAATACTTTGTCTCATTTATTGATGACTACTCCAGGAGATGTTGGGTGTACCCTATTAAGAAGAAGTCAGATGTGTTTTCAACTTTCAAAAACTTCAAAGTGCGGGTGGAACTTGATTCTGGAAATAAGATCAAGTGTTTCAGAACAGATAATGGAGGAGAATACACAAGTGAAGAATTTGATGACTTTTGCAGGAAAGAAGGCATCAAAAGACAGTTCACAGTGGCGAACACTCCTCAACAAAATGGAGTGGCGAAGCGAATGAACAGAACCTTGTTAGAAAGAACAAGAGCAATGTTTAGGGATGCAGGCCTAGAAAAATCATTCTGGGCAGAAGCAGTCAATACCGTCTGTTATTTGGTTAATCGAGCTCCATCAACTGCAATAGAGCTGAAGACACCAATGGAAATGTGGACTGGTAAACCAGCTGATTATTCAAACCTCCATGTATTTGGAAGTATTGTGTACGTGATGTACAACTCCCAAGAAATTTCAAAGCTGGATCCAAAATCAAGGAAATGTAAATTCTTGGGGTATGCTGATGGAGTAAAGGGGTATCGCTTGTGGGATCCCACTGCCCGCAAAGTGATCATTAGCAGAGATGTTATCTTTGTAGAATATAAGCTACAAAGAAAAGAAGACGATGATAGTGCTGAAAAGTCAGAGACTACACAGATACATGTAGAAAAGGAGTTTGAACAAGGAGATTCTTCTGAAGCAGAACCAGCACAAGATGAACAAGAACCAGAGATTTCTAAAGCTCCAACAACTCGTCAATCAGATCGTGTGAGAAGACGTCCCAATTGACACTCAGATTATATTATAGAAGGTAATATTGCGTACTGCCTTTTAACAGAGGACGGTGAGCCATCAACATTCCATGAGGCAATAAACAACTCAGATGCTTCACTGTGGATGATGGCGATGCAAGAAGAAATCGAAGCCCTTCATAAAAATAATACATGGGACCTTGTGTAACTACCACAAGGAAGGAGGCCAATTGGTAACAAATGGGTCTTCAAAATCAAGCGAAATGGTGATGATCAAGTTGAGAGGTATCGTGCAAGACTGATGGTCAAAGGATATGCTCAAAAAGAAGGTATTGATTTCAATGAAATATTTTCTCCTGTGGTTCGACTAACAACAGTTCGTGTAGTTTTGGCAATGTGTGTTACATTGAACTTACATCTAGAGAAGCTAGATGTTAAAACAGTTTTTCTTCATGGAAATCTTGAAGAAGAGATTTATATGCTCCAGCCTGAAGGTTTTGAAGAAGAAGAAAAGAAGAACTTGGTTTGCAGGTTGAAAAAATCTCTGTACGGTCTAAAGCAGGCGCCGAGGTGTTGGTATAAGAGATTTGATTCCTTCATTATGTGCCTTGGATACAACAAACTTAATGCAGACCCTTGTGCTTATTTCAAGAGGTCTGGTGATAACGATTTTGTTATATTGCTGTTGTATGTGGATGACATGTTGGTTGCAGGACCCAACAAAGATCATATTAAAGAATTAAAGGCACAACTGGCTAGGGAATTTGAAATGAAGGACTTGGGATCAACAAACAAGATTCTAGGGATACAAATTCACTGAGACAGAAGTAATAGGAAGATTTGGCTTTCACAAAAGAATTACTTGAAGAAGATCTTGTCACGATTCAACATGCAAGATTGTAAGCCAATTTCTACCCCTCTTCCTATTAACTTCAAATTATCCTCCAGTATGAGTCCTAGCAGTGAACAAGAGAGGATGAAGATGTCTCGAGTACCGTATGCATCGGCAGTGGGAAGTTTAATGTTCACTATGATATGCACAAGACCAGACATTGCACAAACAGTGGGAGTGGTTAGTCGGTACATGGCGAATCCAGGCAAAGAGTATTGGAATACAGTAAAAAGGGTCTTGAGATACATCAAAGGGACCTCAAATGTTACATTATGTTACGGAGGATCAAGTTTACTAATCAATGGGTATGTAGATTCTGACTATGTAGGGGATTTGGATAAAAGCAAATCTACTACAGGATATGTGTTCAAAGTTGCTGGTGGAGCTGTAAGCTGGGTTTCAAAATTACAGTCAGTTGTGGTTACATCCACAACAAAGGCAGAATATGTAGCAACTACACAAGCCAGTAAAGAAGCAATTTGGTTGAAGATGTTATTGGAGGAGCTTGGGCACAATCAAGAGAATGTTTCTCTTTTTTGTGACAGTCAAAGCACCTTGCATTAGCAAGGAATCCAACATTTCATTCAAGGACAAAACACATACGAGTTCAGTACCACTTCATTCATGAAAAGGTGGAAGAAGGAACAATGGATATGCAGAAGATCCATACCAAAGACAACATAGCATATTTCATGACAAAGGTCAATGCTAATAAATTTACTTGGTGTCGATCCTCGTGTGGCCTGTCAGAGACGTAAGCAACATGATGGTACAAGGTAGAAAGAATGGTGTGAAGATATGATTGTTCCAATCAAATCTTCAAGTGGGAGATTGTTAAAAGTCAGAAACATGGGGTGCACCGAAAGTGCACATTTATGCACCGAATATAATTGTCAAATTTTGCAACTAAATTAGTTGAATTTGGACAATGGTTAAATCTCAATTCTAGTCATTTTAATTTAGGGTATTTACAAATTAGTCCTTAAAGCTTCAACTATAAATACCCTAGCTCATTTAGCTTCAAAACCATCCCAAAGCATTCTAGCTTTCTTCCAATACTATAGAGAATTTAGAGAGTTTCTTGAAGAGTTGTTTTCTCTTTTTTATCAAGAGAGAATTATCATTGTTTTCTCCTTGGTAGATCGAGAGAGGTTGTAATTCCTATTTTTCTCATAGTGAAATTCTTCTACCGTTGCCTGTGGTTTTTACCCTATATTATTTAGGGGTTTTCCACGTAAATTTTGTCTCTTTTATCTTCAATTTTTATTTTCTCAAATTATCAGTTGCATTTTTGCTCTATCCGATAGCCGTCTTCCGCAACAGGAACTACATCTACTTTTAAATTAAGATTGTTTACATGTCTTTCTCAACTGTAAAAATGTAAATTAAAGCTTGATAAATTTTATATATGACAAGAAAAATTTGCACTGATCATGACTGCCCAAATATTCTATACTAAACGATAGCGATCTCTCTACATGCATAAAATATGGAAGTTCCTGGATTATTTTAGAGTTTTGATAACATAGCTTTAGAAAAATAAGACATGATGAGACACTCAAGAAAAATACGTTAAACACAACATAAAAGTTTATATACTTGACATATATATAGTTAAGGATAGACATAAGATTTTATGTTTGAAGATGAATTTATAAAATTTTAGAGACTTAAACTTATTATCAATAAAAAAATATCTAAATTATATAAGAATTTAAAATTTTTTAGACCGCGAACATTCCCTCGGTCCATTCTTATTCGTAGCTTCAAGTCATGCAGTAACAAAGGCATATTGAGAAATCAATGGGAGACATTCTGAATTAAAACCCAAAGTTTTAATTTGAATAATTATAGAATAGGACCCAGTTTTCTGCAACATTTTACATTTTCTCTGCATTAATCCTAAAAGTTGATGGGTGTAGATGAGCCCTAATACCTTTGGTCGGCCATTAACAAAGTCATAATCACTTTGTACGGCTTCTATTTCAATGACTGTAAATCAAAAGATGTTTCCTAATGGCCATTCATTAAATTTGTTATTTTGTAATCTTTTAACTTGAATAAATTACGACAATAAACATGATTTCAATAACAAAAACTGTGTGTGCGTTTACCAACTAATTACCTGCTTTACTTGAATCGGGAGTTGAGTTGGTATGATGTATTTTTGCTCACTGTTAATGTGAAAGAGAAACAGTTATATATATATATATATATATATATATATATATATATATATATATATATATATATATATATATATATATATATATATATATATAAATTGATTTAATTCGTCTCTGTTGTGATGGAGCTTTCCCCTCTTTTCAAGCAACCCTCACAATTTTACGTCAAATTGCTCAATCCAATTCAAGAACTCTTATAAGTTTATTGAGTTGACGATAATTGATGCAAATTTTCATCGAATCTTTTTTCTTTTTCACAAAGAGATTTAAACTCCCCTGTGCGATATATTAGGTCGTATAAAACATTGGTCTAAAATTTTTTGAAGTCGAGCCTTCAACCCTGTAAGTTCGACCAGAACCGTATAATAGAGAACATAGAGATCGGTGTAGTCCTTAGCTGTACCTCTCTCCCAAATTCCACTTCACGAACTGGGGATAATATAAGAAATTCTTATGGCAATACATCATGGTATTCACACATTGTCAGAATTGATTCAAATTTAGGCTTAAATTTCTTAATATCAGTGATGCAGGCTAAAGACATCTCATATCCTTCTTCGAATAATCTTGCCAGCCTTGATAATTGAAATAACTGAAGTTGGACAATTACTCTTCTCACCTGTCACAATATTACTATTCTGACCCATACCGAACATAAATATCCTTTTGTTTTCACGATCAACCCATTCTTGATGTTCACCTAACCAATCGAGCCCGAGAGTAAGATTGAATTCATGGAAAGGTAATTCCATAAGATCAACAGAGAATTTACTACCGTAAATCATTAAAGGACTTCTCTTGCAAACTCAGTTTACTAATACACTATCCCTTAAAGGATTTGTAGCTATAATCTAGAATTTAGTTGGCTCAAGAACTAACTTGAATTCTTTAATTAATGTAGTGCATGTGAATGAATGGGTAGCTCTAGGATCCCTCGCTGTAAAAGTAGGACGAGAATATTATTCAAAAGTACATGTTATCACATCCGTAGCATTCTCACCTTCTCAGTTTTGGACATTATACACATGAGTTAGAACTTCCGATTCCTACCAAGTAGCCATAGAAGATTGGCCACAAGATTGTCTGAAAGCACCAGGCTGTGCTTTATTGGGTCCTTGACCCCTGGAAGACTGAGTTGGAGCAGAAACCTTAGGTGTTGCACTCTGAAGCCTATCAAGATTCTTTGGGGGAAAACAAGTGACTTAAGAGAATAAAGACTAAAACGATGAAAATTTTAAATATATATTGTTAAGTTTATTATATTATTTCAGGTCAAGACCAAGTTGATAAACTGTATAAACTTTAATGACTAAAACCATTATTATACCAGACACGTCACTATTAACTATAATATCTAATGACAAAGTAAAATTGACATGCTTATAATCAAACTTATAATTAAGGGACCTTGGGTGTGGTTTAACCATTTTAGAAATATCTTACATTAAAATAAATTGCTCTTCCGATTAGTTTAGGTCATAGTTGTGGACCTTTGAGCTCGCTATTTCAATTTTAGGCATAAGAGCCCAAAATAAAACCCATCGCCAATTAATAAAAGCAACACAAAAACCTACGTTAGGGTTCTTCTGTCATTTGTGATAAAGCAGAGGGAAACAAAACCTCCTCTATACTACACTATCTTTGCCGCCTCCTGTTATCTCACAGCAACCATGGTACTTTCTTTCGCTTTCGATTTTTCTGTTTGGTTTCTGAGAAAATTATTTGCAAGAGAATAGCTATAATGTTTTTGCTTTCTTGATTCCAGATTATCCCAGAGAAGAACCGCCGCGAGATCTCCAAGTACCTCTTCCAAGGTAACTAAATCAAATAAAAAAAATCCCATATCCATATCCATTTCGAATTTCCTTCGTTATATTTGGATTTTAATCTGTTTTCTTTGTTGTAAAAACAGAGGGTGTTTGCTATGCAAAGAAAGATTACAACTTGGCTAAGCACCCAGAAATCGATGTTCCGAATCTTCAAGTAATAAAGCTGATGCAAAGCTTCAAATCTAAGGAATACGTGCGTGAAACTTTCGCTTGGATGCATTATTACTGGTACCTTACCAATGATGGCATTGAGTTCTTAAGGACTTACCTGAATCTCCCTTCTGAGATCGTGCCCGCTACTTTGAAAAAGCAAGCTAAGCCTCCTGGCCGTCCTATGGGACCTTCTGGTGATCGACTACGGTAATAGCTTTGGGTTCTTTGCTCCTTCATTTAGTATTTTTTCCCTGCATATTGAGTTTGGTGTAAAGTTCTTGCTTTGCTAATATTCTGTTGGTTATGAATCAGTGGTCCACCACGCTTTGGTGATGGTGAGAGGAGATTTGGTGACAGAGATGGATACCGTGGAGCTCCACGAGGAGGAAGTGATTTTGGTGACAAAGGAGGAGCTCCTGCTGACTATCAGCCTTCATTTAAGGTAATGTTGCTTTGATAAAATTTCCAACTTTATTCTTTCTACATATATCATGCCCGACTGTTACTTATAATGTTCCTTTTTATCATTTGATTCAATTAGTTGCACAGATTGCCTTTTTCTATTCCTTTTATTGGAGGATATATGTTGTTGCTTGAGATAATTGCCAATATGATTGAAATACTGTTATCAGCTTAGACAAGTGTCTTATGAAATTGTTACTTTCGATAAGATTCGTGCATTACAAACGCTACTTGTTTCACTTTCAATTTGAAAGATGCAATTTTCATATGATTGCTTGAATGATCTTTTTTTTAGATGGCCTTAAAATATTGATGGTCGTCTCGAGGCATTGATGTTATCAATGAAGTCAAATTTAGAAAACCAGAAATCTGATATAATTTCTAACTTCTGAACTCACAGGGTCCTGGATCGAGGCCAGCCTTTGGTCGTGGAGGTGGTGGTTATGGTGGTGCTGGACCTGCAAGCGGTGCAGGTCTTCCTTGATATGAAAGATTTTCCATGACAGATAATTGTCAGTTTAGGCTTGTTGGTACTTGGGAGTTGATAGAAAGATTGTCGTGAATGTTTTAATCATTTTAGTTGAATTTAGGACCAAATTTTTTCTTGCCAATACGCATATTTTGCGGTGCTCATTGTTGCGCTGGGATACTGAAAATTTCATTCAAGATTTTGAAGGTTGAACTTATAATATAATGGAGTACTGATATTATTACATATTTCATGAATTCTGCGCTCTAATCGTTTACAACTGCTCTAAAACATATTCTCCTACATGTTTCATCATTGAACTTACAGCAGCATAGATGGATTTACTTTCTGGATGGTTTGTATCGTTTACCATGAATTTGCATATCTTTCCATCTACCTCAACAGTGCTCCATCCGGCTTTTTTCACACCTTCCACTTGTCTAAGCTGAGCCCTAACCCTTGCAGCATCATCCCACTGGCCTCTGTAAGCTTATATGTTTGATGGTGCAACTCTCCAAACAATGCCTTCAAGATCCTGTTCAGACAGCTTCTCTGCAGCTCTCTCAGCTGTGCATATATTTCCTTGAAATCCACAAGCACCCAATAAAGCATACCATGCATCATTGCTTGGTTTTATTGGCATTCCCTCTATAAATGCTTCTGCTTCCTCAAGGTTTCCCGACCTCCCCAATAGATCCACCATGCAAACAAAATGTTCCATACTTGGTTCCACTCCATACTCTTTCTGCATGCTCTTGAAGATTTCATAGCCTTCTTCGACAATCTTGTATGGGAACATGCAGAAATGATGTTGGTGAAGGTGATAGCATTAGGCTTGTGAGGACTGGAATTATTTAGTTTGGCGAAAGCCTGGAGAGCAAGCCTCCCATTTCCATTGATTCCGTATGCAGCAATCAATGAATTCCATGAACCTAAATCTTTTGTAGGCATTGCCTCAATGATTTCCTCTGCTAAATCCAACTTGCCTGATCTTCCATACATGTCTATCAAGGCATTCTGAATGAAGATGTCGCATATTAATCCAGCTTTGGTTATATACCCATGAATAACTTGCCCTGGCATGAATGATGCCGAGTTTGAACAACCTTGAATTAATGTCAACATGGTGATAAAATCTGGACGCATCTCTCCACCATAGCAGTGAATATCTTTAAGTAGGTTTAATGCCTCATGGAAGTCATCATTCTTGATGAGACATCTAATCAATGAATTCCAAGAAACTATGTCTCTCACGTTCATCCTTGCAAAGACTTGAAAGACTGATTCACTTTGCACATTCTCTGCGTACATGTTGATCAGAGAATTCTGCATGATGCAAGAAGAAAACCCATGCTTGATTACGTAGCCATGGAGTTGTTTCCCCAATTTCAAATTATTGGAATGACCACAACACTGCAAGAGAGCGACCATCGTCTCCGGGGTAAGATACCGTCCTCCCCATTGAAACAAAATCCAGAAAATAGTTGTATTCCTTCAGTGAAGTGCCCATTAGTTAAGTACGTCTCAGCTATAGAATCCAATACAAGTTCATGTTGATGCCACCCCAATTTTGAAACCAAGCCATGAACCCATTGCAATATCCTTAGTCGTCCAATGAAGGAACATGCATGTAAAATGCTCATAATTGTCACCTCGTTGGGTGCAACCCCATCTTCTTGCATCCTAAAGAAAACCAGAAGCGCTTCATGCATGGATCCACGTAGCACAAAACCTGAAATAATAGAAGTCCAAGAAACAACATCTCGGGAACTAAATCTCTCAAGAAGCTTAACCGCCTCTGATAAAATCCCAGATTTTGCATATGCGCCAATCAAAGAGTTCTGAAAAAAGCTATCCTTTAGAAATCCACCCTTGGTAATGTAACCGTGTAGAATACAAATGAATCCAGGATTGCAATTTTCGGAAACAATTTGTAAAGCAGCCGCTAGCGTGAATTCATTGGGGAGCTCATTCTCCAGTATCTGAATAAAAGTGGTTATCCCTTCGTCAGCTAACCCATTGTGGCAGTAACCTGATATCATTGCTGTCCATGATGCCACGGTTCTCTCAGGCATATGATCGAACATCTTTCTGCCGAATTCTATACACCCACATTCCATGTACATGTCAAGAAGAGAGTTGTTTACAAAGACATCCGTTTGCAACCTAGATTTTAATACAACGGCGTGAATGCAAAACCCCAATTCTAAGTTCCTCGATACAGTGCACGATTTTAATGCATGAACTGTATATACAGAGTCGATAGCCGAAAGTTCATAGAACAAGTTATGGCTCGATAATGAATTCTGCACTCTGACAGGACTACTATTCCTAAATTTCTGTCCTTGTTTCGGAAATCGGAGAATAGTTGAGGGCTGCAGAACTAGCATCTGAAACAGTCAAACGATTCAATCAATGCCCAGATAGATCAACCGGCTGAAACGAGAATCAAGAGTTTATAGGAAATTTTGAAGAAATGAGAGAACAAGAAGACAATTTTCTTTTTAAGAAAAATCCTAATTTTATTAAAAATAGAAAATATCCAAATTATAATGAAAAATCAAAATTGTAAACAAAACATATAATAAGAATATTTTTTTAAATACAAAAAAATTAGTCACTTAAGATCAGACAATAACTATATAAGTAAAAGTTTAAAAAACTTAATCAAATAAATCGAACAAGAAATAAATATAAATAGATCTGACTGCATTGATAAACGAACGACAAAAGAAAATAAAGCTCTTGAAAGACCACTAACATATCGCAAATTAGAATTGAGCGATGTGAAAATACTATTCACGAACGCAAATCGTATATCCAAATTCAATCCGAGAGTCCAAAGCGAAAAATATCATCATGATAATAAATAAGCGTCATCTTGATAATCATAGCGATATGTCAAATCCAACCCCAATAAAATAAACGAAAACAACGATCAAACAATCAAAAACGTGTCATAGAAATAGAGAAAAACATATCATAAAGAAAGAAGAATTCATGCAAAAAAATTATTAAGAATAACAAATAAGAAAAAAAAACAAAGATATGCTTTGATAAAGTAAAAAAAAAATAATGAATACTGACTGTCGACAATCAATACCAAACCAGGTATCGATCTCCCATCACAAAGATGAAAAATCTAAGAGAGTAACAGTAGTTTGAGAAAAAGAGAGAAAAAGAGAACAAACCGTAATTGAGTTTTATAACTATCCTTTAATTAATTTTGATTGTTAACTCTTAGAATAAGAAGACATTTTGACACTAATACGACAACAAAATTTAGATTGTTCATATAATAATAATGAGAATATATCATCTATTTATTTCCACAGATTCACTCTTTGAACAATTTTAAAGAATTGTAGAATTAAAAGTTTTATATTAAATGTAAATATAATCAAATTATATATACATATATGAATAAATAATCTGAATGTATTTATTTCTTTTGGATGTATCCGTTCAAGTTTATTAATATATAATTTTAAAACATTTTAATTAATATAAATGTATTTATATTAAAATATAATTATTAAAATTATTAATAAAAATAATTATATTTTATTTTCAATACAATTATATAAAAATAAAAAAGGTTTAATGCTTCCTCGTACAATAATCTAAGCTTTGTTTTGTTCGATTAATGATTTAAAAAAAAATCTATTTAGTTAACTATTAAAGAAAAACAGTTTGGTTAATTTGATTTTGAGGAATTTGGTTCAATCGGTGGTCGAACCTGCCGTTTGAATAACTCTACCTAAATCGATTGAAAACACTCCAGAAACATATTATCTCCGGGATATCCAACCAACCACCTTTCTTCAGCTCAACAAATTGCTTTTAGTCCTCCCTTCTTTAAAGTTGGGATAGATACCTTGGTACATTCACCGATCGAGTATGCTCCACCAGAGAGGAAAATTGAATCCCCCCAAAATCTTTCAAGCCGCTCTAATAAGTTTTCGTCTGCTGACCCAACCATCGATGAACTTCTCAATCTTAAACGCATTCTCGGACATGTATGTAAAACATAAAAATCATGTGCAATCGTGCTGAACAACAACTATGGGAGAAAAGATATTGCACAACACATCTACTGAGGGCACCTGTTTCTTCTCTCGACAAAGATGAAATAACCTATAAGGATCCATTAGAAAGCTCCGGCCAACTAAGTCGACACTATTATGTATTGATCCAACACCTCACTTACAAAAATGTGCTTACGAAGGCAAAACTCGATCTCTAAAATGAAAAGAAAAAGGTAAAATCATGTCAAATTCCTATCGTTGCCATCCTTGTGGCCACTTATACGATTCGAACAGGATGGAATGCTAAACTCAAACATGTGGTTCTCCCACAAGACACCCTGGCTAAGCAGCAGATTCTTAGCCTCAAGTTGGCGAGTTGTGCATTCAAAAATACCACCATCCGTTGTTCGTTGACGATTCGCCACTATCTTCTCCTCTTTATTCTTGACAGGTCACGCAATATTCTTTTTCTTCCTACAGAAAAAGCAAACTCAAATGCAAATCACAAATAAATCTGGCAAAACGAAAACAACAACACTAGAGGATTTGTGACTCCACCCCTAAATCCTCCTTGTATAATAGAATGAAACGATATATCCTCAACAGTCGAAACAATGCACCACTCCACCGTGTCAAACTCAAGAGATCATACATTTAAGCCTCCGAGCCGTTTAAGAAGCAATCATTGAAATATTTTCCAAAAAAAGCCTATTAAAGTTTAGTAACGCTACAATGGTTAAGTCTTGGGTTAAACCACTTTATGATATTCCCTTGACTAAGGGAGACAAATGTTTTACCCCTACCAAAGGTCCTCCACTTACCTCTTCCGTCCCTTATAGCCTTTGGAGGACTCAAAAGCATCTCCAACACTTGAGGAACTCCGAGAGTCATAGAAAGAACATTTTCAAAGGAAGGACCTCAAATATCTAACATCCCTTAAGAAGCCGTGACTAATTGAAGTTACCTTTAACATGTCCCTGTGACCTACCAAAGCCAGATTTACCGCTATCTAACAATAACCACTTAGCTTGCTAGCCTTCATGTAGACATTATGATTAGGGACGAACGCATGATCTTGAGCCAGGGGACAAACTTCTAAAATTTTAGCAGGATGCGAACTTATAAAATTCTAAAACCCCCACTTGCTATCCCTTTGATCCATCCCTAATTATGACCCTACAATTAACACACACTAAGGATTACTATAAAACCTCTTGAGTATGATCGAGAGACGAGATGCAACCTGTGTAAAATCACCTCACCCTTATTCTCCTTTATTCTACCTCCTTGTTGGGATAGAATATTTTGACATCAAACAATGGTCGATCTACCACATATTACGAATCTCCACCCAGATAAAAAAAATAGACCACCTAAACTCACCGCAATCCCTTTTATTCCATAAAAAATGTAATAATTGATTTGAAGCCGTTGAACCAATCCCAAGTATTTAGATATTAAAACCAAATCTCGAAACGGAACAATTTCAGCTTGAAGCAACTTCAAATAAAAAAGAATTAATCAGTTAAGATTTGTTATTTTATAAATCTATTTGTTTGCGTCACACGAAAAGTAGCAATTTGTCTTTACAGATGGTTGAAAAATGCATACTAACACTGGATAAAGACACCGGATCCTTGATCGTATGACGTCCTAAACAACCCTAAAACGAAGTACTCCAATAAAATAATATACAACACAAATAGTAACGAAAAATAAAATGATATGCTATAAAAAAACAAAAAGAAGAGTTGAATACCATAGCACTTCAAGATGATGATGTTTGATTCAGATACTGAGACGAAACCCTAAATTATTTTATAAATAAATCATTGAATAGTAGACAAAATAGGGTTAGATATCTTTATAGGGCTTGCCCATATATCAACAGTTATTACTGATGTTGCCGGCCGAATAAGCTAGCCGGCCTCCATGCATTAACAGTGCTCTCCCCTTCACATTTCTATATATACATGTTGAAGCATAAATTAGGTTCACCATTAATATTTATCTCCTTCACTTGTCAGAGGGTAGATATGAGGCAGGCAGGGACATATTCGGGCATACTGTCGGGCGGAATATCGGGTAAAACGGGGCCTCATTTGTTGCCCTTGGCAAGGATCAAGAAGATAATGAAAAAGTCGGGTGAGGACGTTAAGATGATCTCCGGGGAGTCTCCGATTGTGTTCTCCAAGGCGTGCGAGCTGTTCATAAAGGAGCTGACGCAAAGGTCGTGGATGGTTACCATGCAAGGGAAGAGGAGGACGCTTAACAAAGAGGATGTTGCCTCTGCTGTTATGGCTACTGACCTTTTCGATTTTCTTGTCAACTTGGTTTCGGAATCTGGGGAAGCTACTACTCCTTTGGAAATGGATACCTCCAACTATTCCTAGCTCTCTCTCTCTCTCTTCTTCCGCTACAACCTATACCAATTTGTAATAATTATGAGGTGTTATCGGAGGCTCTACTAATGGATTGTGAATTTCATTTACAACCTATACCTCCAACAAAGAAATGATCATCAAACCAAAATCTAAATTCATTCACATATTTAGACATGTTTCGTGTTATCGGAGGCTCTACTAATGGATAGTGAATTTCTTAATTATGAGGTGTTAAAAGGAAAAATTATTATACTTAAAGGTTTTGAGTTCGAATACGACAACTACAATGACATTCATTATCAAATTATTGAGTATTTCTAACAAATAATATCTTATAAACACTTTATTGATAAAAAATAATTCACAAAATATATAATTTTAAATATATTTAAATATTTTTATTATAATTATTTGAGTTAATTACACCATACAATCCCAAACTATGACCCTAATTTTAAATTAGTTCTTAAACTTTTAAAGATTTCAATTTCATCCCAAAATATGAATCATATTCTATATTGATCCCCAAACTTTTGGACATTTCAAATTAATCCCCAAACTATGATCCTCATTTTATATTGGTCCCCAAAACTTTTGAACATTTCAATAAAGCCTCCGAAATTCATTCAAAAGTTAAGGGATAAAATTGAAACATTCAAATTATGATCCTTTAACAATGAACACTCATACCCATACATATACGGTGCTTGAACCTGAGACCTCAAGAGATAATAACAGATCCCATAACCACTGAGGTTGTTTAGTTTGTGCTGTTAAGGAAAGTTATGTTATAGTGTGATGAGTTAAAATGCATGGATTTGATCTAATATATATGCAAACCGGCCTAAAATGAACTATATGATATAGGTTTTGATCTAATATGTTTTTCGGATGTCAAAATCAACATACAAGTGTATTTTTATGTGTTTGATGTTTTAACATTATGTTAGAAGCATGATTAGGCTGTTTGAGTACGGATAATCATACAGTAGTGCCTATATTGATAGGGTCAATACTATATGTACTTGCTGCAATTTGGTGTTTAAAAATGAGTTTTGCTATCTTTATAAAGTCCCTTGATTTTAAAAGTGTAATTGTAGATCAATTTTAATTCAAATGACTTTGAACTCACTAGTAAACATATTTGGACTACAATTTCATGATTAAACCAGTATTTTTCATTTTTAAATTAAGTACAGTTTTAAATTAAGTACTAAAATTAGTTCACTTTTTTTAATTTAGTCCTTAAAAGCTTGTTTTTGCAATTCACATTAAAATATAACTCTCTTTTAATTGAAATTTTATGTACTACTATTTCAAATAGGTATAAAATGATTGATAAACTTAAAACAAGGTTTTATATCTTTTTTTAAATATTGAGTGTAAAATGATGATTTTGTCCTTGTTAATAAAATTGGTTAAGTTAATGGCCTAAATACATTATTGTGATGAATTGGACTATGTTGGCTTGTATTATGCATGTTTATGCATTTTTATTTTGATTGTATGATATTTTTTAATAAATAAAAAGATTAGGCACATGAATTTAGGTCTAATTTTATTCTAGATCACTTTTGTGATTAACGTGTTCTCGATATTCGAATCAGATCATCTCAATGGAGTATTAGACTTTATAGAAAAATTTAAAATTAAAATAAAATAAAGCATAAGTTATGAAAAAATATAATAAATATGAAGAGATTGACCACAAATCCTTCTCAAATTCGGTTACCATGGCCTTCTAGAAGGTCATAAGCTGGTTTTCTTTTTAAAAAAAAAAATAATATGTGAATTACAATTATGAGGATTTGAAAATGCACTACAACATAAGTGGTCTATAGCGACTTTTTTTTGTCCTATAGCGGCGTTTAAAAGCGCTGTCAGCGCATAAAAAAAACGCCGCAATTGTTAGCGACGTTTTCTACTTATAAATGCCGCTAAAAGTAAGGTTATTTAGCGGCGTTTGAGTATACAAACGCCACTAAAGGTCATGTTATATTGCGGCATTTAGAATACAAATGCCGCAATATGTTTGATATTTATAGGCGTTTTGCAAAAACATATTCGATATTTAGCGGTGTTTGTGACCACAAACGTCACAATAGAATAAATATTTTGCGGCGTTTGTAGTCAAAAACGCCGAAATAAGTTGGTCATTTAGCGGCATTTAATCGTAAAAATGACGGTATATATGCACTCCATTAGCGGCGTTTTCCCCCTAAAATGCCGCTAATCGAAACTAATTTTAACATATCTTTTTCGTATTTTGTATTACCTAAATTTAACCTGTAACAATAAACAACTTATAGTAAATTTAATTAAGATTCAAATTAAGTAATAATACATAAAAACATAAATAAATCGAAGTTTACAAACATTGAAGTTAAATATAATGTAGTTCAACATTTTTCAATAACATAAAGTAAGCATTAAGCTAAGAAAACACCTAGGATGATGAATTCTTTGTTTGATTATGATGCATCATCTGCTTCATAGCTTTAATTTGTTGTTGAAGTTCTTCATATTTTCTCTGAAATAATGCTTCTCTCACTACTCTCTATGCTTCTCTCACAGCTTCTTTTGTTTCAGCTTCGGCTTTCATTTGAGCAGTTTTTCATCAAATTCACCCAGCTGTTGTTTTAATCGAATAACTTATTGTTGAGAAGATTGTATGTGTGATGACATGTACTGAGACGAGCTGTATCCAAAGAATTTGGTTGGAGTAACAAATTATCCCTTACAGCGAACTTGACCATATCTTTTAGGACCGAAAACTTCAGCAATAACTTTGATTTTCAATCTCCTCCGCATTAATAGAAGGATGGGATGAAGTCATAGCTTTGTATTCTACCCTTTTATCACTCAATTTTTCCTGATAATCAATTTAGAACGTAGAATAAATTCAAGAATGATTTAAAATACACAATTTCATACTATCAATATAACATAATGCAAATTTTATGTACGAAAATATACCATAATTTATGCAGCTTCAGGAGCCATAAGAGAGCCATCTTTTTTGTATGTGTGATTTCAAAGAGCTGTATTCGACCAACTCTACTGCCGGACGTGTATTTGGTGGTTGATTCATCTTTCCATAAGTGAACTTCATATGTTTCAACATTGATAAGATATCCGACCCGATTGTTTGTTCAGGAGCTTTTCTAAACTCTTCAGTACCATCAAACAAATTATTTTGATATCTGAATCTGTGATTTTCACCTAACCACCGATGATGTCCCATGTAAGAGAATTTTTTTTCCATTATACAACCACTTTGAACATGTATGCGCATCACAAGAAGGACAAGCATAACGACCTTTGGTATTCCAACCAGATAGATATGCATAAGCAGGGAAATCATTAATAATCCACAATAAAGCTGCACGTAAATTAAAGTTCTCCTTCTTAAAGACATCATATGTTTCGACACCTACCCATATTTGTTTCAACTCTTCAATAAGAGGCTGCAAATATATGTCAATATTATTATCGGGACCTTTCTAACCAGAGATTATCATTGATAAGATAAAGGATGATTGTTTCATGCAAATCCACGGAGGCAAATTGTAGGGAACAAGCAGAACAGGCCAAGTACTATAAGAAGTACTCATTATTTTAAAAGGATTAAACCAATCAGATGTAAGACCGAGCCTGACATTCCGGGGATCTCTTACAAAACTTGGAAATTTTTGGTCAAATGACTTCCAAGCTAAACAATCTGCAGGATGCCTTAATAATCCATCATCGGTTCACCCATCATGATGCCACCTCATAGACTCTACAGTCTTTGAAGACATAAAAAGTCTTTGAAGCCATAAAAAGCATTTGAAGCCTAGGTATTAAAGGAAAATATCGCATAATCTTCAGTGGTTTCTTTCTTGATTGTGCTTCAACTTCGTACATCAATGAATTTAAGAATGTAGAATGCCTACCAGAATTGTAATCAAACAATAAAATTCCTCATAAAAGTCACAGATCATAGTAGCCAAAACTCAATTAGATGATGCAGATTCGAGAAAATTATTTATTCTCCCAAGAAAAATTAAAGTTACAAAGTGCACACTAGAATAGCTCCAATTCCTACCTATTTGATTTCAAAGAAACTATCTTCCATGATTTCTAGCCATTAAATTAATCCATTAGCACTTTGTTCAAACATAGATTATAAACTAAACAACATAAATCAGTATGACAATAATCATACCATCTCACCTAAATAAACCCAAGGCCAGCATTATCAAGTTACAAAATTTCTCTTGTTTTGGATAACAGATTCAGGAGACGATAATGAATCAAAACAGTTAATCAAAGTTTCTCTGCAAAATTGAGTTCCCATTTCACTCGTAAAGCATTATTCCAACAACAGTAGAGAAATTAAATCAAAATTCTAACTTACGCTGTGGTTTCTTGGCCTAATCCTTGAGTTCCAGTACTAACAAGGAACTCATCCGGTTTCCCAGCCAGCGTCTGCTCCTTCCAGAGCTGACCCGTGTAGTCGAAAAACATTTATAAACTAATTGAATAATTTATAAAATAATGCAAAAAAGTGACAAAATCTAAGTTAAACTAATTGAATAAGAAAAAACCAGTGAATGAACTCAAATGTGAGAAGAGATAGAAAATTCGGTCAATGATTTAAGTTAGGGATTACATTTTTTGAGTTTTAAGAAATCAGTTTAATATTTGCAATAAACTTACCGAAACATAACTGATGAACTTAGAGTTTTTGAGTTTTAATAAATCAGTAGTGAGAGAAGGGATCAAACCGTGCAATGGTGTTGTAGTTTGCTGGTGAGAGGCCCGAATTGTCGTCGGGAGAGACAGAAGACTCCGTCGCTTGGAATCTTGAGAGGCCCACTGTTGTACCTGAGAAGAAGCTTTTAGGAAGAGTTTAAATTATTTTAAGGATCGAGCAGGGGAAGAGGATGGAGCATATATTTATACCTTAACGGCATTTCTACTAATAAATGCCACAATTGAACATGTTTTTGCGGCATTTTTTATTA